GGAAAACAAAACAGAACTAGAATCTTTACGTGAAGAACAAAATCCATTTCAGAAAGTGTAAGTTATGCACTACAAAACTTTGCATCTAAATCATGTACTACATCCAGTGATAAACTTGATAAAAAATGTCTTTTCCAGAGTGGAAAGGAAGAAGAAGGAAAAGGAAAAAGAAGTGGAAGGAAAGGTTGAAATCCATGTAGGTAAAGTTGGTGAGAAAGAAAAGGATTTGTCAATCTATGTAAGCAATCTTTTTTTCTTTTAAAGCACAACACGCTACTCAGTATTGTAGAGCATGGATATAGCACAATTGAAGAAGGATGAACAAGCGAGGACGGAGAGTGAAAAGCAAAAGAATGCGAATAAGAAGAAGTCGGACAAAGAGAAGGAAAATAAGGAGAAGCCAAGAGAGACGGGAAGGGCAATGAAGGAAAAGGAAGGTCAAGAAAGAGCAGCACTCGATGCTGTTACATCAGCAAAGAAGCGGAGTTGAATAAAAAAGAAGTGATAGTGATTTCGAATATTACAATGCCTTATACTTCCTTGAACGTTTCTAACGTAATATCAATCCTATATGAACAATTATATGTCAATCTATAGATAAATGTGCTGTCTTTTTTGTTCATTTACGAAAGAACGATACCCGAGTTGCACCTTTCTTACTGACTTCCTCAAAATTAATATGCTTTGTAGTAAATTATGAATTTGGTACAGGTTAACGTTAATAATCTTTTTTGAGTTTTTTTCCACTGAGCTCACTTTTTCGTTATTCTCCTAGCGAAAAAGGAGAATTTAAATGAGGAACAATCCTTCTTTTAGGAGTGTTTTAGTTTATATCTGAGAATGGCTTTGTGCGGAACTGATCAGCTCCGAATAGCGTTTGAAAAATTTCTTTGAAAGATAGTTGCTACCTGAGTTGCTGCCATATTTGAAGAAATTGAGAGAGGCAATTGGTGCAAAAGAAGAAAACAAAAAAGTACAATGAAGAAGGAGCTATGGGCCTTTCAAAAATTGTGACAGTTCACGTTATCACGTCCGCTTCGCGCTCGGGCTGGGATGCCTGTGAGCCTAAGCCGTTCGGCCTTGAGCCAAACTAAAGTTGTGCTTCTCTGTTGAAACAAAATTTTGTTAGAATTTGTTTTTGTTTTTCAAGCTTTTCTTTCCATTTCAAGTCCCAAGAGGAGCGTAGAATGATGAGAGTCGTAAGTTGAGTTATACCTCATTCACTTGAAGCGTTTTTTCTTCCTGAATGAGATTCAGCTTATAAACTGTTAAGTTTTGAAACTGTTGGTTGAAATTTGATTGTGGAAGTTCATTTACTCTCTT